CAAGAAGAATGTATGCAGTGTATTATTTGTTGAAACTGTACTTCGGATTTGATTTGAAACTGTCTCATTGCTATTTGTTTATCAATAAAATTTTGAAAAGAAAAAAAAAAAAGCAGAAGAAAATATGCTCCCTTATGTTGTAAACCTCAAAGTCCACAATAATGTAGGACTGGGTTCCCTCCTCAAAGCAGGAAGCAGTGTTACTGTAGAACATTCAGAAGTGTGGTGTCCTAAGCCATGAGTAGGTGAGACCCAGGAGACAGTTTGGACCGAACTCCATTTGTCTCACTAGTGTATTTAGGATACAACTGTTTGGGGCTTTTTTTTTTTTTTTTTTTTTTTTTTGGTCTGAGCGGTTAATTTTGCCTCATACATTTTGAGTAACTTGAGGTTAATTTTTGCCTCATAATTTTTTTTTCTCCAAATGCCTTCAGGGCAGGTTGGCTGGCTTGAGTTGTGGGGATCAAACCACAGCAACCTGAGCCTGATCGCTTTGTTAAAGCAGCCACTTAAAGAACTGAGCTACGGGGCATGCCCCCCTTTGCCTCATAATTTGAGTCTCATATTAAAATATGAGGTATACTCTCAGTGGAGATCCAAGCTTCCTCCTTCTCATGGACAGGAAATTAAGATTCCCAGTCTCCATTAATGCACTGCCAATTCTGGTCTTCAATAAAAGGCATTTGGTCTTTTCACATCTTAAACATGACAACATACACACACACACACACACACACACACACACACACACACTGTATTATGCCAGTGGCTTACTATGAGATTGTATTTCAGCCCAGTAAGAAATAATCAGAAACCATTTTAGAGCTAAAAGGAAATTTTACTTATAAGAGCATTTTTATCCCCATTCTGCTCAGTTATGACATTAGGCCAAGTTTTTTTGTTGTTGTTTTTTTTTTCCATCAGTTCGGCTCTCTTAATCTCCAGAGAGTATTTTATTTCCTCCATTGTTAAGCCATTTTCTTTTACTCTTTTCATAAAGTTCTCTGTGGCACTGCACAGGTCCTTACTTTCCTGAAAGGCAAGCTGCAGAAAGAACATTTTTAAACAGTTACCAGTGAAGGACTGAGAGCCAGCCCTCTACCCTGAAGCAGGTGGGTAGAAAGACAGCCATGGAGCTTCTGCAGGGGTCTGGGTGGGGCTTACAACCCCAAGGCTGAGTCAGCCCTGAAGTAAGAACTTCTGGGATAGTGCTGCTGTGCACAGCTTCGACAGGAGCTACTCACAAATGCTTTCTCAACCCCGGTCCGCGGGACTGCTGCGGGAGCCCCTGGGATCAGCTCACAGGCCGGGGGAGCGCCGCTCCACGCCCGGTCCAGGCACTGCCGCTCCTGTGTGCCCACCAGGCGGTACCTGAGCACACGGAAAGCAACACTGACCTTTCCGTCTTCCACCCTGGGAAACGAAGCTTGGTGTTCTGCCGTCGCCGCATTTCAGAAGTTTGACTGTGGTAGAATCCCCCTCCCTACCCCTGAGCATTAATACATGCTAAAGGCTAAAGTTACCTCTGTGTCACAAAGCTGTTATAAGAGAAAGCTACTCTCCTGGGTGGGGGGTAGGTCCCCAGAAACGACTCAACCCTAAAACAAGAGCAGCAGGAACTTCTGAGTTAGTGTTGATGCACACCGCACACCACTTCTTCTTTTTTGTTTTTGGTTTTGTTTTGTTTTATTTTTTGAGGTCTGTGAGGGAAGAAACATTCAATAGCCTAAGAAGGCAACTCTCACCTAAGCTTTAGAAAGCAGAAGGTTGAAGACAAGTGCGTCAAATAAATGGTGGTAGGTGAGTTAAAAGGCAATAGGTTTTAATCCGAAAAATCTAAGTTGGCCGGAGTCCGTGGGACTTAAACATCAGAGAGACCACATAACTCAGGAAGATTGGTGCAAGGGGAAGAAAAGTCTAAGGTGGGAGACCAGGCATTCTAAACTGTTAGGCTGGGTTAAGGGTCTATACTCTAAATCTTTGTTTCTCAACTTCTGTATTTTTTTTTTTTTTTTGAGGTTTTGTTCTTAGAAGATACATACACAGTATTTTAAACTCTGTCGTAAAGAGAAGAAAAAAAGGGATGCATTCACTAAGGTAGGCAGGCTACTTTAATAGAATTAGTCTGTTTTCTCAGGATTGGAAAGAGCTAGCAATGAGCTAAAACAGCTCTCAAAATCAGAATGAGCCCTGGAGCCTGAAGCAGTACAAAATCAGGGCACCAGATATCATGTTTTCTTGAAAATAAGACTTACCTGGAAAATAATCAGCCTTGAAAACTAGAGATCAAAAATGCCAGCCCCAAGCAGCCTGTCCCTGCCTTCCCTGCCATTTCAGAGTGGCCCCCGAGCAAGAGCACAGCGAAGTGTGACCTCCCGACTGTCTGTCTGTGCATTGGCCATCTACTTGGTAACAGCCAGCACTTATTTCCTGGTTAGGTCTTCTTTTGCAGGAGGCATGGTAAATACAGCTTGGGTCATTCCCCAAAACAGTGCTGCTAAGGAGCAGGAGCTCATGTTCGAAAGGCTTGTGCACTTACCGCTTCTCACAGTAAAAAGTAATGATGGATCCTGAGGTGAAATTTGTTCCTTTAAAGTAGCCATGAGCTGGCTTCTCAGGAGGGCCACAGTCTCCTGGGGGGGG